AACAGTAAGGTGCAGGATGCAGAGAGACTGGAGATTGCCCAATTGATGGAATACGACACCTTCGAGTCACTGGGAAAGGGTACCCCAGTCCCAACAGGCTACCAGGAAGATACCATGTCATATGGTCTATGCCGTCAAACACGACGGGGGCACAAGGCAAGGTTTGGGCAGGAGGCCACAGGACAGAGACACCAGTAGACCCAACCTACTCAGGTGTTTTGTCCTTACAGGGCATCCGTCTGTTAGTTTCTTGGCTGAGTTGAATGGGCTTGAACTCTGGGCAAGGACATTGCAATGCATACCTGGAAAGCTACACGACCGAAAAGGTGTTTTTATTTCTGGTGGGGAGTTTGGAGACATGCTGGGCATTCGATGAAGATGATCAAGGCCCAATATGGCCTCAAGTCATCAGGACAATGTTGGCATGATAGACTGTACGATGTGCTTCACGGATTTGGCTTCAAGCCCTCTAAGGCTGAGCCAGATATCTGGATGCGTGATTGGCGACCACTATGAGTATCGGTTGCTATGTTGACGACCTATTGATAGCTTCAAGCAACCTCAAGTCATCATCGATATGCTGCAGGCTCAACCACACAAGTTCAAACTCAAAGGACTGGACTGTACTTCCACTGGGATGTGACTTTGAAGGGATGCGACGGAATCCTGCCAACACCAAGAAAGTACATTGAACGTGTCAAGGCCCAGTAGTATCCTTGTTTTGGGAGAATCCATCCACTAAGTCACCAGTCCAGTGGAGAAGAACGACCACCCAGAGCTTGATACCTCTCCTCTCCTGGATGATGATGGATCTCAAAATACCAGTCCCTGATTGGAGCATTGCAATGGGCAATTTCACTTGGGAGATTTGATATTGCTATTGCAGTCTCTGTAATGTCAATGTCGTCCTTCAGGGTGGCACCCAGAGTGGGGCACCTGGAAAGACTCAAGAGGATCACTGGATTCTTGGTCAAGATGAACCAGGCAGGAATCAGGATCCGTACCAACGAGCCAGACTACTCCCAGCTGGAATACCACACCTACGACTGGACAAGGACGGTCTATGGGGAGGCACAGGAGGAACTCCCAGTAGATGCCCCACAGTCGAAGGGCAAGCCGGTAGTATTGACGACCTATGTGGATGCAAACCTATACCACGATTGGGTCAATGGCAAGGCAGTCACTGGTGTACTGCACTATGTGAACCAGACCCCATTCGAATGGTACTGCAAGAAGCAAGCTACTGTGGAAGCAGCCACATACGGCTCTTGAGTTCGTTGCTGCCAGGGTTGCCTCCCAACAGGACATTGCAGCCAGAGTTACACTCAGGTACCTTGGTGTGGAGGTAAAGGGGCCAACATACATGTTTGGTGACAATGGGTCTGTGGTGACAAGTTCCACCCAGCCCCATTCGCCCCTCAAGAAGAGACATCACGCCCTTTCCTACCACTTCGTCAGAGAAGCCATTGCTGCAGGGACCATCTCGTTTCATCATCTACCGGGAGCGATCAACCCCGCAGACATCCTGACGAAACACTGGGGTTACTCCCAGATATGGCCCATCCTGAAGGCAGTTCTGTTCTGGCAAGGAGACACAGCTGATCTCCTGGACACCACCATGGACACATCACATGGTGGGGAGCGATGAGTGGGAATCCACGTAAACTCCCATTGTGGTGCGAAGCAGCTGTGCTGGTTTAGCCAGGTGGAAGAATCGCTGTGACATCTGTATACTCCAACAGTAAGGTCAGCAGTGCAGCCATCTGGCAATACAGAAATAGCTGAGGAACTCTATATACCCAAGGATGATGCTGTTCCTCAGCCAAGACCAATATAGAAAGTTAGCTTGCCAGCACCAGCCAAATGAGATGCAAGAGAGCCAAAGCTGCATGGCTGAGTGCTGTCGAGGATTTTGTGTACATGTTATAGTTTAAAGAAGAAGAAGTAATGAAAGGATAGTTGACCAGATACAGCCTCAGTAGCACTAGTTTCCCCACAGTTGAAGCCTTCCTGTGTGGATTGTGCCAAGGCAAAGAGTAAGTTGTTCAATCATTGCCGTGGAGATTGAATAACAGTGGCAGCCAGCTTTGTGGCTGGCACACATTCCCAAGTGCCAGAGGAGTGAGACCTCCAAGCAGAGCTCTCCACTCCCAGCTCCTTGTGCATCTACCCTGACTGAATCTCATCGATAATCGGTGTGAACCGCTTCCATGTTACGGGTTGATTGTTGACTGAGACTGACAAGCCTGTTTGGGGCGGACCGGGAATACAGCAGAAAACAGCACCATGGTCACCGGGGGTGAGGAGACCGAAGCTACGTCGGAAAAGTTGGTGAGGTCCAACGCACAATACACCGCCTGCACTTGCTTGGAGCTCAGCCGGGGCGCTCGGGCGAAAGCCAAAGGACTTGGGCACAAGACTGCAAGGAAAGCAAAAATGCTTGTGGCCTAAGAAAGATCATTGAATATGTCACTGGCATAAATATCGAATGTGGGTGGGGAGGTTGTCCCAGGTGGGATCCCAAGATCATTGGGTGTGATTTGAATCACTACATAAGGCCCACCTTGTATTGTATGTACCTCGAATAGGATGCCCCTTTCGTGTTGTTGATGGCATCTTGTTTTGTGGAACCCCAAGGGATTCTATAAACATCAATCGCTTGCAAAATCAAGCGGCCATTGGCAGTTTTCTTGTTAGCCTTGGTGCGGATGTTGATGAGGTAGTCGATTTCTGGTGGACTGTTGTTTTTTGCTTGCGGAACCACAAGCGCTCGATTCATCATGTCATCCATCCCCTTTTCTTCGTAGGAATCTCCATCATTCTTCCAGCTAAACTGAATGACAACATCAGGGTTGACTCTTTCCACTTGATCTCGGCTTGCGTGACGTTTTGGTGGCTGGTCCAATTACTGAGGAACCGACATCCGGCGATCGCATTTTGTGACATTGACTGTCTTGTCTGGTCCCCAAAATGCAATGTCTGGCTGTCTTACATAAATTTTGCGGCCAGCCTGTGTTGGTTGTATGTAGACATTATTGTCGCTGTTGATCACAGATGTGAGCCCCTTCCAGTCGTCTTTGAGGTCAATTGGTTGTGGGCTCCAGTTGGCATTCTGAGTCTGGCCTTTCCGCTTTTGGGGTCAAGGACAACCGGCAGATCCGTAAAGCCACGACTTCGCAGTTCTTCTTCAAGATCCTCCTCAAATTCAAACTCTGTATCCTCCTCCTTCAAACCTCGGAGTTCTGTGGGCAATTCAAGCTCCTCCGTGAAACTGTAGTCTTCGCTCTCTGCCTCAGACTCGATTCCGCTCTTTTTTGCCGCATCCACATGCACATATTCCTTGTCCTCTATTTCTTTCTCTTCCTCATCTATGGCCCTGGGTCTGACACTTGGGGGTGGAGCTATTTCGAGCTCGGACTGGTGTGATGCTGTTGCCCGATGACGGTGTGCTTGTTGCCGCTGCTGCTTTATGATGGTTTGCACGAGGGCCTGAGAACAAATAGCAGCAATAACGAGTGGCACGATGACATGCTGACATCGGCTTGTACATGTACCGGGTAGGAGACAAATCCCGGATTTTCTATAGTTGGGGTGAGGCGCACCGGCCAGGCAAACGGCTTCAAAATAGAGAGATCTGTATATAGAATAACAATACTTAGTTGTAATTACCAAATCGCAAACAGACACTGGGGCAGAAATTGGAAGACAACAAAAACCACGGAAGTCAATACAGAACAAAATGGGGAAGTCGAAGTCTATAAGTGAGAAAAAACAAGTGTGATTGACTAACTACTTTATTGACTACAAATAACGGACTCTTGCAAGAGCCTCTAAAAGGGCTCTCCACAGACGCCCTTGGTTCATTCGGAGCCACATAAATTCGAATAGGCAGGGCTTAACACCCTCCTCAGTCCTCTTACGAGCTGGCACCAGCTTCTTCGCACCATTCCAGGTGCCCTCGATCGTGTTGGTGCAAGCACCAGTGATGGGGTCCTTGTAGTTTTCGGAGTGATTCACCGTAAAAAAACAGTAGAGTGTTAGTCACAGTTGGTTGCATTTCCAATCGCGCGACTGCACTTCAAGTTGACTTACCGACTTCATGCTGGTACCAGAAGTCCTCCTTTCCTTCAAGGTCCTCATAGGAGGGGAACTTGTCACTGACAATGATAGACCCCGGTAGAATGAAGTCTTTAACAAGGGCCTCTAAAGTAGGTTTCTCTCTATCGGGTACAGCCACGAGGAAGCACTTGCGTTCCGGGGTTCTTTCAACTCCACCAAAAACCCAGACGCCTTCTACTCTGTGCCCATAATGATACTTCCTCTTACCGAATTTGGACTCGTCTATCTCAACCTCCACACCAGGCCCACCAATTTGATAGTTCTCCATCGTCTCCAAGACCATCTCACCGATTAACTGCTGCGCAAATCGGAACCAGTCGGTGACAGTGTTAGGCGACCACTGAAACATGCTGCGAATTGCCGTGTAAGTGGTCCCACAGATGAACAGATAAAGGAAGTACATGACGTCCTTGATCAAGACCTTCCGCGATGGCCTGTTACCCAGAGTATCCAGTTGGTTACGTCAGCAGCGGCCATCCATCACCTGTCCCATTGCCATTATTCCAACCAAAGTCAAGGTCGATACTGAGAAGATTGACATCCTTGGTATCCAAGTGGGAATCACCGACCGTCCAGCCTTTGAAAACCTGATGAAAGCCATTGCCAATGATCCCTCTCTGCAACATCCACAGTTGGATCTACTGAGCCCCAAATTGAACAAGATCAGCAGACAAAGAAAGCACCATGACCTTATGAAGAAGGCAGTTATTCAACATATGGATGTCATCAATGCCACCACAGGAGTCCCCCTTCAAGATCTGAATCCAACCTTTGAGGATGAAATTCGTCTTTTGCTCTTAGAGAAGATTGTCACTGCCAATGGAAAACCCCTGCTGTTGGACCTGGAACGCCACAAATCCTATGCCACTGCAGGACAATACTATGCCATTTGCCAGAAGAGTGCTAGAGACACAGTGGTGGAACGACTCACAGATATCTTCTCCGATGCCACCATCTTCCCCCAAGACTATGCCCTCAAAGATGAGGAACCTTCTGTCATTCACAGACAACCACGAACTCCAAGGGATGACTCTTGGGATCAGTACTCATACAGCAGTCGCTCCTTTCAAACCCTGTATCAAGATGATGCCTCCCTTGCTTCAGTGGAGGCAATCATCACTACCTGGGCAGACAAAGTCAGAACTTGGGGACAGAATCAGGCACCAGTGACAAATGTCTCTGTACCAGATACAGCCACCACTGTGGCAGCCAGTGATGTTACTAGTGATGCACAGTCCAAAGAAATAGCAGCCCTCAAAGCAGCAATGGAACAACAGACCAAGTCCACATTAGCCATTCAGCAACAGACCAAGTCCACATTAGATGCTATGGAAAGAAGCAATGGAGAAGAAACACCAGGAACAACTGCAACAACTGGAAGCAAAGCACCAAAAGGACCAGGAATCCAGTGAAGCAAGATTTCAGCAGATGATGGCCTTGCTCAGTAACATGCAAAGACCATCTGAAGCCACTGCCACCCCCTCCAACCCTCGTTCCTCCAGACAACCACCACCTCCTGGAGGGGGTGCCATTGATGCTCCAGTACCGGGTATGCCTGTGCCCCATCATGGAAGTTACCAGACTCCTCATCAGTCCCCAGCCCATGGACAATATCAACACCAAGGCACTAATGATGTCTACACACATCCAGACTTTCTGCAGGGCTACCACGGCAATCCCTATCAGAAGAGACCACCACCTTCAAATGTACCAGTTGCAACTCAAGATGGTATTCCTGTGACGTCTCCTCTACTCAAGCAAGATGACAAGCGTCCTCGCGCTGATCCACGTTCTCTTCAGCCAGCCCAGTTGTATCCAGCAGCCACCTATCAGCCTTACCAGCAGTCACAGCCACCACCCTACCATGGATTACAGTATCTTGCTGGTGCAGGATTCTACCCAGGATTTCCCCAGCCTACCCAACCCCCATCACAACCCCCACCCAACCAGGACCCACAGGGGCATCCTGGTGGGCGGGGTGGTTAAAGATGGGCTGGGCTCCCCCGGCACAAAGTGTTCTATGGGACTCGCTGGGCAGAGGCCAGCCTACAGGGGCAGTTGAATCACCGTTAGTGGATGACTTTGACACATGGGACAATATCAAGGGGATGCTGGCGCGAAATGAGCCAGTGGGGGACATTATGCCACCCAAGAAGCCACCAAATGTGGCAAGATTCATCTTCAACAACAAGAGAGGATTCCCACTTTACGATGAAAATGGCGGGGAGCTGTTTGAAGACTGCAAGACGTTGGGAATGTTAGGAACCGATTATGCTGGATTTCAGGAGCCCAATCTTGATACTAACCAGCCAGGTGTGCGACGGAAGATTCAGGCAGCTGTGAGGAAGGCCTTTGACCACAGGAAGGTCACCTTTGGCAGCACTCCTCAGATCCACTTGAGAGAATACAAGCCGGGGGGTACTCTATCTCTGGGCCGCACCGTTGGCAGAGTGTTGGAGGCCGAGGCAGATTACCTTGGCCGCTGGACAAGAACGGTTCTATCCTGCAAAGATGGAAAGTGACTATCGGTTTACAATGTGTATACTGTGACCGATGGGAGTGTTGAGAGGGCTGGGGATAGGACCGTTCTGGCCCAACTACATGCCATCTATGTACAGGAATCACGGCAGTCCCTTGATCCAAGGAGGAACCACTATGATGATCTTCAGGAATGCGTGGCCAACGACATCTCAAATGGTCATGAGATTATTGTGGGTGGGGATTTCAATGACGATTTGGCAAGAGGACGGAAAGGTCTATCGCGCCTGGTCTCCGATTGCAAGCTTGTAGATCCGATTTTCTACAATCATGGAATCAGCGACTTTAACACCTATGTCAGAGGCAGTAAGGTAATCGATTACATCCTCGTTTCTGAAAACCTTTTGGATGCTGTCGACGCTTGTGGTTACCATCCGTTCTGTGACCACTTCTATAGTGACCACCGTGCCTGCTTTGTTGACTTCGACTTGAAACAGCTGTTTGGGTCCGATACAGCAGCTTTACCCAAGCCCTGTCAACGAAGGGTGCATCCCAAGAAACATCACCAAGTCACCACCTACATCAAATCCAAGTACAGCTATCTTGACAATCATGGATTCTTTCAACGACTGTGGGGATTCAACCAGGCACCTACCCAGCAGGAGGCTGAGGCCTTGGATCAACTCCTGCTCTCTGCAAGCCTCCACGCCGCCAAAAAGCGCCCGACCTATTCACCCATTCCCAGTTCCCCAGCATTGACCCAGCTACGCTTGAAGTTCCAAGTCTTGACGATGGCCCTGCATGCACTCCAATGCAAGAACGACATTACCAATCAGATTCGTCTCCGCATGGAGCGGATCTCCGACCCAGCATTTGAACTACCCACTTCGTTGGAAGACTGCAAGAAACGAAAGAAGCAGGCCCGCAAGGAACTTCGTGCAGCGGAGGTGGATGAGTGGAGAACACACAAGTTGCGCCAAGAGTACCAAATGGAACTCCAAGCACAATACGAGTCTGAAGGAGACACAAGGTTGGCTAATGTGATGAAGCGCTTGCGCAACGCTGAAGCCACTAGGAGAGCATGGCAAAAGTGTGCACACGCACGGGGTAAATGCCATGGTGCGGGACTAACAGCCTTGGAAGTCCCCCGAGACCCCACCGCGCCGCCAAAACAGTGTCAAGACTGGATGTATGTTGAGGATCCCGAGGAAATTGAACGCCATCTCCAGGCTCACCTCAAAAAGCATTTCCGGCAGGCTGAGGAGACAGAATTCCGATCCGATTCCACATTGCGGACCAATACAGACTTCTCCGCCAGTACTGCTACCGCCGATGCAATCCTCGATGGAGAATACGACATTTGCCCATTCGAAATGTCACTTGCTACAGCAGTCCTCCTCCGGCACCCGGCCCGGGCTTGCGATGGTGAGATTCCAGCAACATTGACAGAGGAACAGTTCGATGGGAAACTCAAGAGCTGGAATGAACGCACTACCACCTCTCCCTCTGGGCAACACCTCGGTCATTGGAAATCCCTCTTTGCGGAACACAGTCTCGACCCGGAGTCTGAGGAAGGAAAGGAATTGGCAGAGTTTCAAACAAAGATCAAGCAGGCCCACTTTAGGCTCCTCAACTTTGCTCTGGAACAGGGCTTTGCCTACTCGAGATGGAACAAAATCGTCAATACCCTTGGGGATGAGGGTGGTTGCAAAATCCATCGTCTGCGAGTCATCCATATCTTCGAAGCCGACTATAACCTGCTTCTAGGAGTGAAGTGGCGCGAACTCCTCCACCATGCCTCCAAACAAGGGCTGATCAACCCAAGGCAATTTGGTTCCGTTCCAGGGAGGTCAGCAATTGATCTCTGCTATATGGAGGAACTAGAGTACGAAGTATCACGTTGTTGCCTGCACCCCCTAATCAAGAATGACAATGACGCAGCTGTGTGCTACGACATGATTCTCATGTACATTGCCAGTCTTGCAAGCCGAAAGATGGGTATGCCAGTGTGTGTCTGTAAAGTGAATGGAATGAATCTGGAACAGGCCCAGTACCATATCAAGACAACTCTGGGAACGTCAGTCACTTTTCTCCGTCACACGGAGGAAGATCCCTGGCACGGGTCTGGCCAATAAGGCGCTGGTAACTCCCCTGCCTTATGGCTGTTTATTTCGAGCACACTATTTGACTGTTTCGAGCCCTATGCGACTGGCGCCACCTTTGCCAGCCCAGACGGAACAAAACAGGTCAAGCTGTTTATGACAGGGTTTGTGGATGACACGAATTCTCGAACGAACTGTTTTCTGACCAATAACATTCCCTCAGTGGTGCAGGTACTTGTGGAAAAGGCAACCAAAGATGCTCAATGGTGGAGTGATCTTCTGTGGTCGTCAGGTGGCAAGCTGGAGGCTTCGAAGTGTTCCTTTCACCATCTCCGATATGAGTTCAGATCTAGTGGCGAACCAAAGCTGGTCTCGGGGACTGACTTTACACCATCAATCAAGGTGAAATCCACTGATGGGATCGTCACGCCGATCAAACCAGTCAACAACTACAAAGATCACAAGTCGCTGGGATGTTTCAAAGGCCCGGCTGGAAATCTCACAGCACAGAAAGCAGCCCTGATCAAGAAATGCGCTCATTATACCAGGGTTCTGAAAGGATCCCCACTGAATCGACGGGAAGCCAACATGTTCTATCGCAGCATCTTCCTTTCGAGTGTGGGTTACTGCTTGGAGACAACTTTCTTCAAGGATGTCGATCTTGATACAATTGAGTCGGCCCCACGCCGAGCTGCCCTTCAGAAAATGGGGTATAGATCGAATACTGCGAAAGTGATTTGCTATGGTTCCTGGAAACTGGGGGGTATTGAAATGTTTCGACTCGCCGACAAGCAGGGAATCGGGGTCATCCAGCAGTTCTTAA